TCAGCTCATCAAGAAGGAAACACAAAATCACAGAACAGAGCATCAGGATTATGATTCTAGTTTGTGTTCATATGAAGGATTTTTCAGTGTGTTATTTGATGACAGTTACAACACAACACATCTCTGTGTGTAATTAGTTCTACAGTAAATAAGTAAAGTAATCCATTATACTAACACTGCTACTCATACAGTCTTTGTTGAAGGTTCATCATAAAGTTAGTGATCTGTCAAGCTTTGGTTGGTCTTTTAAAGCTGTACAAACAAACAAATAAGTGCAGAATTAACTGAAAGAAGATGATCCTTATCATACTGATATTTCATAACTGTCAGATTAGAGATGCATGAAGTATCTGAGCAATAAATTTGAACACATTCTGGTCCTGCTTCCTCATTGGCTGCAGTAGTAATGACTTCAGACTGTCACATGATGACGTTACTGACCTTGGTTTGTGTTGCAGCTCAGCAGTGAGATCAGAACTGAAGAGAAACGAGTCTCAGGTTAGTTTAGAGTTTGTGGTGTTTAATGAAGTGGTCAGAGAGCAGAGCCAGGAACATCTCCGTGAGCTGATTGTAAGAAAATAATGAAGCAAAGCCAGAGCAGGAAGTAGGGACATTGTTGAATTCAAAGATATGAAGAAGATTCATGTTACAGACAAACATCAATGAAATCAAACTACAGACATGACTGGGACATAAAATCAGCCCTGGCATTAAGAGCGGCTCATGTTCAAAGTAGTTGTTCATTTTACTTGAATCTCTCCCTTTCTAGTTATGTCTCTCCATTATCTCACTGTTACTTTCACATCTTTGTCACTTCCTTACACTGTTAGGCTACGGCTACACTAATCCAGATAAATTTGAAAACGGCGTTTTCGTCTAAAAACGCTCTGCATCGATGCTATCGTTTTCAGTCATTTCCATCCACACTTAAAACGCTATGTTCCAGTACTGTGCATGCGTGAAACGTAAGAGGAGTTGACCTGCCTCATTTCCGTCTGCCATTTATTTACTTTCCGGCTCTTTGAAACGTTGCAGCAAAATGTTGAGGAAAAGCACCGAGTTTTACCTGGAGCATGTACAAACTGATATTATTCTTTAATAGGGCTGGCAAAATTGAAAGCAAACAAAACAACTGCTGTACAATGCCATCCGCCATCTTGGTTGAATTGGTCACATGACTGCATCATATGACTAAGATGTGTCATCATTTTTGAAAGCCTCTGTTTTTCCAGTCCGCACTGCGACGTGAAAACGCTGTTTTCAAATTTATCTGCGTTTTCAAAAAGCTCACATTTCCTTGAACAAAAACGCCGTCTCAGTGTAGACGGACGAAGGCCAAAATGGAGAGAAAAAGATGCATTTTCAAACAAAGTCGGATTAGTGTGGACGTAGACTTATTGGGACTGCTTTCCCTCCTCCTCCACTTCTCACAGTCACAGCCTCCTGTGACTGTGATGAGTCGTTACTGGTTGTTGCTGGTATGACTGTTGACAGTGCAGCAGCAGCCCTGAAAGCTTACATGTGATAAGAGTCTTTCTTCCTCTTTCTGCACTGTTACATGTCAGAGCATCAGTGTGCTTTTCTCTGAGGATACAAGTGTTAAACCCACAAACATGTGACCCAACTAAACACTGGGTGAAAAGCTGACACAAACACTGAAAAAACAACACTTTAATGTGTGAAGTCCTTCACCTGAATCTCAAAACATTAGAAATGGCTTTGTAACCATAATAAATGTGTCTCACAGTCTCCTAGAACTAAAGATCATGTTTCCTCCGACCTGCTGCTTCCTGATAATCAGACCAACACTGAGATAAGTTCACAGTCACGTCTAGTAAAACCTTCCTCCTCCACCCTGTGACTCACTGTGTTGTGGCTTTCTCTCCCTCAAGCATTAAGAGAAACTTTCATTCTTTGACTGAAAAAAATTGGAAAAATAAAGTGTTAAAGATTCAAACTGAAACAGTAACGATTAACAACAACTGATATCAGGACCTGAAGGCAACATGAGCGCCTGTGTGATGCTTTCATTGACCCTCCGACCTCCTGTAAGGAGTGTTTGAAGCTCTTTTTACACAAAGAAAATAAAATTCAACTATTTAATATATTATTGATAGTACATTCAATGATTTTTTTTTCAGAACATTTGCAGATTGTTAGAAACCAGCTGTGTCTTCCTGTAGCTGAATGTAGGTCAACTGTGGGGTCTGAGTTGGAGGTGGGCTTTAGCTTCTCTCTGTTTCAACCACTGACTTGTGGTCAGAAAGATGGTAAATAAATGTTTGGCTGCACAACATCAGACTGAAAGAAACACTAAAGATGTGAATCAGAGTACTTTACTGATCCCTGTAGGGGAAATGTGGGTTACAGTGCTCCAGTACAAACAGTAACAAAAACAGACAATACAAGAAGTAAAGAATAGCACAATATATATAATATATATATGCATATAAGTCACTTACTAATAAATATCTGAATAAGAAAGAAGAGCATGTGCAAAAAGGGTGTAGCTATTGCAGTGCTTACAGTGTGTTAGATGGAGGAGTTGTACAGGGAGCCAATGGCAGGAATGATTTCCTGTGTCGTTCAGTGGTGCTTTTCGGTAATCTCAGTCTCTCACTGAACGTGCTCCTGTGACTGACCAGCATGTCATGGAGTGGGTGGGAGGTGTTATCCAACATTGTCTTTATCTTGGACAGCATTCGCCTCTCCGACACCACCTTAACAGAGTCCAGCTCCATCCCCACAACATTACTGGCCTTATGGATCAGTTTATCGAGTCTGTTGGCATCTGTGACCCTCAATCTGCTCCCCTCAGCATGCAACAGCATAGAGGATCGCACTGAAAACAAGAGACTCGTAGAAAATCCTGAGCATTTTCTGGCAGATGTTAAAGGATCTCAGCCACCTCAAAAAATAGAGACGACTCTGTTTCCTGGTCTTCCTGAAGTCCACGATCAGTTCCTTGGTCTTTGCCACGTTGAGCTGCAGATGATTCTGCTCACACCACGTGACAAAGGAGTCGACCACAGCCCGGTACTCTGTCTCATCATCCCTGCTGATGCATCCAACCACCGCAGAGTCATCAGAAAACTTCTGAAGATGGAGGTCTCTGTGCAGTGGCTGAAGTCTGTAGAGGGTGAAGAGGAAGGGGGACAGTTCTTTGTGGTGCTCCTGTGTTGCTGATTAACTTGTCAGACACACACTGTGGGAGACGCACATATTCAGAATCAGAATCAGACTTTATTTATCCCCAAGGGGCAATTAACAAACAACAGAGCAGCATAATGTTGAAGGACAAATAATAAATACACAGAATATACAGTATATACACTTTTAAAATGACACAGCTTTAAAAGTAAAGTGACTGAAAGGGGAATAAATAACTGTAAGTGACTAAAAGTGAATAAAGTGTCGATAGTATAAGAAGAGTGTAGTTTGTATTGTGGTCTTCCTGTTAGGTAATCAACAATCCAGGACACCAGAGAAGCATCCACCTGCATCGCTGTTAGCTTATCACCCAGGAGGGTCGGCCTGATGGTGTTGAAAGCACTGGAAGTCAAAAAAAACATGACCCTCACAGTGCTCGCCGGCTGGTCCAGGTGGGTGTAGACACGATTGAGCAGATAGATGATGGCGTCCTCTGTTCTGAGACGCAGAGAAGCTGAGCTGAGCTGCTATCAGATCACTTCTGCTCTCACACTAACAGAGTTTTTGTGTTTACTCTCCATGTTGTCAGAACTCTAATCTCACTGAAATCCAGCTGAATGTGTTGCACAGAAACCACATCACACAAGCTGAGCTGTGTTGATGTAACTGCAGTGAAAACACAGGCAGAGTCAGTATTTATCTCCACATAATGTTTAAAAGAAACAGTGTTAAATGGGTCTCTAAATATCTGAAATAAAATGTTCATTAATCAGTGATTTGATTACAAATTATTTGTTATCAAATCAAATGTGATTTACATATGGTGGTCCTGAAACATTGACCCTGACCTACTTAGAAATGTCTGACAGTCATGAACAGTAAAAATTAGGATTTCAGTCCTGCTTCGATTTGATTTGTACTTTCACTCATATTTCTATGGATGTAGCATGTTACAGCTAATGCGTGCTCCACCCTGTTGCAATCATTTGGTCACTTATGACAACAACAACAACAACAACAAGAAACACTGTTGTGAAATAATTGAAGCTACAAACTAAATGATCCAAAATCAGTCGATCTTTCATACTGTCTGTGGGTCTTATGAACCAGGCTGTGACAATGTGGGGGCTCACCTGGGATTCAGACCCAGGACCTCTCATTTCATATGAGGCTATGACAAAAAGAGTTGGGACAAAGAGGGCAGGGGGCCATCACAGCACAAACCACATGAGCTGTAGGTACAGATACTAAAGAGTGACACGGACAACTGGAGCAGTTTGAAATGTAGCACAGGATGTGGCTTTAATAACAAAAAAGCACCAACAAGAAAGAGTCAATTTCAAGGCTCACTGAAAAATTCACAGTTTGTGTTGATCCAGGAAGAGGTGAAAAGACAAAAACTGCATTAGTCCAGTCTGAGTCATGTGATCATGTGTTTACAGTCAGGCACCAAAACGCTATGACAGCATCTGTGTGTGACGGGTAGATTTAATTCCGGTCAGAACCATCAGGACACCAGCTACTCCAGTGAGGTGATCAGGTAGGATGTGGAAACATGAAATACCAAAATAAAACAGGAAGTAGCACAACGTTGTCTTTTTCTCTGATATTTGACCTGATATTTGACCTTTCATGTAAAAATAAGCTGAAAACGTCTTTCAGTGACAGAGCTGCAGTGATGCACACACACAGCACATGATGATCTCCTCCTGTGAGCAGGAATATTTACTGTTTATCTACATAAAAATATCCAGAGATGAACATCAGAGTCCATTTATCCAAATAATCTCAACATCAGAGATGGAAAGGACAAAGTTAGTGAGACTCACAGAGACACAACAGAGCTCTGACTCAGAAGTGATACTCTGTGGTGACATCAGTGATTACATCATCATGCTCATTATCCAATCCCTGGTCAGGAAGAGTGGGCTTGGTTGAATCACTGATGCCATTTCCTGAAAAAACAAAAACAAATGTAGAATATCTATCGGCTGTTTCTTCATGAAGAGACAGGATTTAATCATCAGCACATTCATTGATCAGTGAATGATTCAGTGTTACCTCTGGCTCTGCATTGATATAAAGACATCATGATGAGAGTGGAGATGATATATGGAGAGAAAACCACCAGGTGGAGGACTATTCTGAATGCAAGCTGTAGAGAGGAGTCAGCGGTCAGATCTGGAGCGGTGGGAATAGTTGTAGTGGTGGGTGGAGGTGTGGTTGTAGGTTTGTCTGCAGAGAGAATCCCACCTGTTCAGGTGAATATGTGGATGAAATAAGAGGTGAAATCAGAGTGAAGCTCCTCACCTGTGACAGTGATCCAGCTGGATGGAGACTCTCCATGACCGCTGATGTCACACTTGTAGAGGCCTTCATCAGACCTGGAAACATGCTGGATGGTCATGTGACCTGTAGGCTGCTTCCTGATGAGGGAGCCATCTTTATAGAAAGCAGCTGGGAGGTTGGAGGGAGTGGTCTTTGTTTTACAGAGCAGAGTGACGTCATCTCCCTCCATCACAGGGAGGACAGGACTCTGCAGGATCACTGATCCACCTCAACACAGAGACAAACTACAGCATTTCATCCATTTACACACAGCTTCATCAACACTAACTCCACACACTCAGCTTACCAGTGACTGTCAGGTTAACCATGTTACTGATGGGACCCTCTCTGGTCTGACTAGGTAAACGTCGTGATGTTACAGAAATAACCAGACCAATTTCCCCACCCATCTCCACACTGAGTCCTCTGTTGTTTGCTTGTGTTTCTCCTCAGAGTCCATCCAGCAGAGCTGTCGTCCTCCTCACAGCTCAGAGACACAAAGTCATCTTTAAAGAACTGAGAGCTGCTGGGACTCACAGTCAGACGAGCTGTGGAAGAATTCAGTGTATTTTTACTAGATTAATTGACCCGCTGACTTTTACAATTCGTTAATGGATGACAGGAAGACATTACCATAAGCATATCATTACAGTATTTACATTGGATTTGTCTCTAATACAGTTATTTCTTGTATTAATGTTCTTAAAGTCAATCAACACCATACATAAAACAATCACATGAGTATTCCAGTTATTTTTTTAAACATCAAATGTATTGTACTTTACCTCAGCTTATCAAAATTCAGCATAAAAATCACAGAGTCATCTACAAGTCTCCATTATGCTAATATGTTTTCATCTATGTTTTACCATTAAGTTTTTTGCTGCAACATGATGCATCTCTGTGTGCAATTAATTATTTTCTAAAGGCAGTAAATAAGCACGACTCTTAAAATAATGAAATAAACACTTTCAGTCTCACAGCCTTTATGAAAGCTTCATAAAATTAATAATCTGTCAAGTAAGTTCGTCTTTTTCAGCTGTAAAAATGGATGAATAAATACAGAAACGAGAAAAGAGTGTGATCCTCATTATGCTTATATTTCATAACTGTCAGACTTTAGCTGCATGAAGTATCTGAGAAATAGAATAAAACACATTCTGGTCCTTTAGTTTGTCACATGATGTTACTGACCTTGGTTTGTGTTGAGGCTCAGCAGTGAGATCAGAACTAAAGAGAAACGAGTCTCAGGTTAGTTCAGAGTTTGTGGTGTTTAATGAAGTGATCAGAGAGCAGAGCAGACACAACATCTCTGTGAGCTGATTGTAAGAAAATACTGAAGCAGAATCAGAGCAGGAAGGAGGAAGACTGTTGGATTCAAACATGTGAAGAAGATTCGTGTTACAGACAAAGATCACTGACAACAAAATAGACAGACTGGACTGGGACATACAATCAGCTCTGGCATTAAGAGTGGCTCATGTTCAAAGTTGAATCTCTCCCTTTCTAATTACATTCCTCCATCTATTTCATCTATTTTCTCACCTTGTTACTTTCACGTCTTTGTCACTTCCACTTACTTATTGTTGGGACTGTGCTCCCTCCTCCTGCACTTCTACCAGGAGTGGCTGTAGCTTAGGTGACAGAGCAACAACATCTTCTACTAATTGGAAGGTTGGTGGTTCGATATCTGACTTCCCAAGTCTGAATGCCAAATATACTTAAGAAAGATATTAACTCTAAGTTGCTCTCTCATGTGTCCATCAGAGTGTGAATGTTAGATAGGAAGCACTCAGAGCAGAAAAGCACTATATTAAACAAAAAACATCCAGCCCTGATTACAACTTCTTGTTAGATTTCTTCAGCAAAAAACACACAGACTGAACTTACAAAACAGCCATAGCGGCGATGTTTCCTCCATCTCTATCACCCAACGTTATGTTAAATAAAGTTGATCCTTTTCATCAGGAAGCTGTCAGAGGACGATCTAAGCACAACGTCTGATCTTCCTGTCAGTCACAGCAGGTCGGCTGAAACCAAATGAGGTGGAGATGGTTTTGTTGCTGCTTCTCAGTTTTGAGGTCAGAGAGACAATAAATAAACTGTGTGGCAGCACACTGACTTTACTTAACTTTAAGCATCAAAAACTGGCTTCAGTGCGACTAAACCCTGCACGAGCCTAAAGCAGGAAGCAATGAACCAATACATGTTCACATAACCTCCTTAACATGAATCCTAGAAGAAAAAAAAACAGATGGCATAATTTAGAGTATCGGGAGCTCATGTTTAGTGATGTGACTGAAAAACAATTTCTGCATTTCTTAATAAATGTGTCCCACAGTCTCCTGGAGGAGTGAGTCAGGTTTACAGTGTGACAGAAGGAGGTTATTGACCTTGGTTTGTGGTGCAGCTCAGCAGTGAGATCAGAACTAAAGAGAAATTAAACTAGTTCAGATGTCTTTTCTTTATTGCTGAAATGAACAGCGACAAAATCTACAATTGACAGCAGAACCTGAAGGCAACATGAGCACCTGTGTGATGCTTTTAGTGACCCTACAGCCTCCTCTGAAGGGGAGTGTTTGAAGCTCTTTTTTTCACAAATGAAATAGAATGCAACTAAATTATTTAACATTTTATTGACAATACATTCAATTATTATTTTTACGACTGTTGCGGATTGTTAGAAACCAGCTGTGTCTTTCTGTAGCTGAATGTAGGTCAACTGTGGGGTCTGAGTTGGAGGTGGGCTTTAGCTTCTCTCTGTTTCAACCACTGACTTGTGGTCAGAAAGATGGTAAATAAATGTTTGACTGCAAAACATCAGACTGAAAGAAACACTAAAGATGTGAATCAGAATACTGGTGGTTTTTGGTAATCTCAGTCTCTCACTGAACGTGCTCCTGTGACTGACCAGCATGTCATGGAGTGGGTGGGAGGTGTTATCCAACATTGTCTTTATCTTGGACAGCATCCGCTTCTCCGACACCACCTTGAGAGAGTCCAGCTCCATCCCCACAACATTACTGGCCTTATGGATCAGTTTATCGAGTCATTGTTGGCATCAGTGACCCTCAGCCTGCTCCCCCAGCATGCAACAGCATAGAGGATCGCACTGACCACAAGAGACTCTTATAAAAATCCTGAGCATTTTCTGGCAGACGTTGAAGGACCTCAAAAAATAGAGACGACTCTGGCCCTTCCTGTAAAGTGCTGTGGTGTTTTTAGCCCAGTCCAGTTTATTGTCAATGTGTACTCCAAGGTATTTATAGTCCTCCACAATGTCAACACTGACCCCCTGGATTGAAACAGGGGTCAAGTGTTTCCTGGTCTTCCTGAAGTCCACG